GGTCGAGCAGCTAGGCACTCGTTGGTCGAGGTTAGATCCTCGTATGTCGCCACTCTCGTCACTAGGCGTTCTCACTTTTTCCTTGTTATCTCAGGACACTCTGCCAGGTTGTTCCTTGTTGACCGGCCTTGTGATTCTCGTTATAGAATGTAGTGCCCAACAGTTTAAAGGAACGGGTGAAGTCTCGGGATCCGCTCTAGTCGAGTAAGAGATTTCCCCTGTAGAGTAGTCTCCGTATCAGTCCATGGGCTAAGGTGCAATTGCCTTCTTAGAGCCAGTCACCACCCCTAACCCATAAGTCGATGGATGTCCGTCTTTCCGCAATAGTGAAAAGGTTAGTAATGTTCAGTGAGTTCTAAAAAACCTTCAACTCCGGCGGCGATGCTCCGGGATATTTGGAGCTCAAAAGAGAAACTTTCTCGCCGAAGCAAGATTTTGCCTTCGATTCTCCTCAATCGGTCGTTGGAGGTGTTTGTTGATTTCCGAAGGTGGCTGAAAAGGGGATAATAATGATGAATGTGGAGACGTCTCTTGGAAATGGAGCTCCGATGGCGATAGGAGGAGGAAGCTCAAACAATTTTCTATGAGCATAGCCGATTCAGGTTTGTTTTTTACTCTTTCTTGATGGTAACCCAGTTGGTCGTCTGATCTTCTTGCTAACCTCACATTACATATCACCAATTCACCATGTCGATTCACTGATTCTACTAATCGAGTAACGGTGTGATCAAATCAGACTTTTTCAAAATCGGATATTAAAGCCTCTCCCAAATCAGAAGTCTAATTCTAATTCTTGGCTCTGATTTCTGCTTCTCCGGTTCTGAGGTAAATATTTTCATTATCGTCTTCTATGAATTTCTTATATAGTTTTCTAATTATAAGTATTATGATTTTAGTAATTACTGATATTATGATTGCGATTTTGTGAAATACTGAATCTGATTGCATTGTTTAACTTCTTTGGTTTGTGTATCTGTACCATGGTATTCGGGTCTAAAATTTAATTTTGTTTTTTTCATGGATTTTGTTGGTGTTGGCTGCAAACATGAGTGCTATTGATCTATAAATCTGAGTTAAACCTGATCCACAACAAGGTATATAAAGATTTATGGATTTTTGGGCTTAAAAAGATTTCAATTTTGTTTCTTTGTTCATGGATTTGTTCATGTTTTTTGGATTTTTAGTTTAGGGATTGTTTTCAATAACATTTGGTTATAGTTTAGCATCCAATTCTTAAAAGAAACTTATTTTCACATATTTTGGTCTTTGTATACTGCAAGTTTATAAGATCTACGTTCTGTTGGTATTATTTATATGGGTGGATGCGTAGGTGATACCGCATTAATCGGTAGCCAACTAGGATTTTGTTGTTCTACAAACTTAACATTTATATCAATATTTCTCTTAAATTTGATTCAATGTGGTTTTGATTGATAATATTTTGGTTCCAAATTAGGTGAATGTAGATGATGATGTTTGAATGAAAAGTTGGAACCCTTTTTTAAGTAATATTAAGGATTTATGTGCCCTAAATCTGCCGTTACATGACCAAAATTTGTTTTGTGTGTTTTTAACCGGTTCTTTTCTTTTGATTGTCGATGGATGTGGGTAATTGACAAGAACTGTGAACAGATCGTTACATGACACCAACAATGATGTGGTGACATAAAATTCATAACAATCCTAAATGTAAGTTATAAAGTAATGAACTTTTTTTTTTCTTTTTTTTTTTTAGAAAACTCTTCTTACTATGCCACAAAACGGAAGTGGTTTGTTTTCGGCTGTTGGATTTACTCACAGAGCAACACTTTTACCGCCAGCCAACACTTTTACCGCCATCCCTGAATGCAAATGATAACATACAAGTAAAATTATGTTTTTCCGTGTCAACAATTGGTTTTTACAAGTAGAGAAATATGTGATGTTCATCTAATATTACTATAGCAATAAGTGAATATTTTTTCGCCAATTTACCATTCTCGTGTTGATTGATTTTGTTTGGTTCTTTTAGGTATGAATGTCTACATCCCTTATGACATATATTTATTGCCAACAATTTCAACACACACCTATTTCACTTCTCTTTGTTATATTCATTTTCTGAATAACAATGTCTATCTATGTATGTTCAATTTTTATTTTTCAACAACACGTTTATTTGTTGTTTTTCTTGAATTTTATCGTTTTTTCAACCTTTTAATTCGAGTATTTTTTTTAAACAGGGGAACACGAGAAACCAAAAGGTTAAGAGGGATGCTATCACAATTTTGCATCTATGAGTGAGCTTTTTTTTCTTTTTATATATATGAAAACATGTCAAGCGTGTGTGTGTGGAGCGGTGGGTACTGGCTATGTGTGTGACACAAATACAACTTGTAAAGCCCGTGTTTCTGGGCTAGGCATTAATGTTGATGTAATAATCTAGATTAACCTTTGTAACTCGTTTTGAAATAATAAGAATGTATTATTTGAGTATTATATGTTTATTGCTTAATTGTGTGATTTAAATGAATTAACGATAAAAATAAGCGATAAAATAAAATATTAGATAAGCCCGATATCTATGAAAGAAGTTGTAGTGGTTGTGGCAAGGTTTCCGAATATATAAAGAAGGCCGAAATCCGAGTTATAACGAAGAAGTTATGACCTGTCGAAGTTTCGCGACAGAACCGACACGGCACTGTATGACGTAAAATACGAATTTAAGATAGAGCGATATCTAGCCTTAGTAATATAAACAGAAGTCGTAGAATTCGTTAAACCGAGAGCGTGCATAAAAAGAACGTCCAAATCTGACTTCGTATGAGGAAACTATGATTTTTCTAAGTTTCGACTTAGCGGTATACAGCCCAAATCTCGAAATTGAGATCAAGTGATATTTGGCCAAAACAATCTAAACGAGAATCGACGATCTCGTCGTTAGTAGTCCAACGGTAAAAAGACAGACGAAAACGGGCGTCTTATGATTTTATAACGGAGTTTTCCTGTCCCGGCCTACTAAAAATAATATAATAAAAATAAAGTCAAAATTAGCCAACGGAGTCTTACATGAAAATTGTAGAGCATAGTCTCACCTACGCGTGAATATAAAGAACGTCGAAAACGGAGCTCGTATGCGAAAGTTATGAATTTTTGAATTTCGAGGCACGCATACCAAAGCTTATCCGAATGAAGCCTAGGAATGCGAGGTATGCCCAGCGTACTAGGTGTACGCCCCGCGTACATGTCGACACCGAAGTACGCCCTGCGTACGAGGAAGTTACGCGCAGCGTACTGCTGCATTGTGCAGTCCGAAGAAGAGCCACGTTCCACCACCGAGACTTCGCCACCTGGCACCTTATCCGAAGTACGCCCAGCGTAGGGCCTCGGTACGCCCAGCGTAGTCCGAGGTCTCGCTGCTATAAATAGAAGGTCGAGGCTGCCGATCTTTTTTGATCAAAATCTTTCTCTCTCTCCCATATTTCCTCGTTTCACGTGCAAGAAATACCCCCGAAGCCCCAATATTATTCCCGAGACCCGAAGCAAGTCCCGAAGCCCCGAAGATCCCGAGAAGTAAGGTTTCCGAGCCGAAACTCTGCCCACGAGAAGCCCGGTTTTCAAGAAAAGCATCCCGGTTTTATCGGAAACAATTGTTTTAAGAGATGAGGTGCTGTCCGATCATTGTCATATCAAGTGAGTGTATATTCGTTTTCTTCTAACACAAGATATGAAGTATTATTTATAAAATACGTGCTATGTGTTTATATATTATTTTGTTTATTTGAACTAGTTGTTGAATGGATGTTTTATATAGGTTTTAAGGGGTATATAAATGTATATATTTTATCTACTAATATGTTGGGTAGAACGTGGGTAGATAGTTGGTGTGTGATGAAATAAAATGATGAGAGGCCTCGATGTTGTTGTTGATCCAGTCATCTAGCGGAGTATAGATGACGACCACAGACTTTTCTAGACAGTCCAGTGGAACGCTAGCAGACTCGCAACCTGTAGGTGTTTGTAAACGATGTGTTTCACCGGTGTACTCCATCCCCCCCATGGTTGCCTTTAGGACATTTATTGTCGAGGAACCCCCTTGGCAGTATTGTCCATCCCGATGTTGATCCTTAGTCTAGGTCCCTTATAATAGGTGTTTTAGGGACGTAATGTGAGGATAACAGGAACGGGTAATCAGGTTATTGTTGGTTGATGAACTAAATATAATTATTTATTGTGGGTTGAAAACTCTATATGCTCACCAGGCTCCCAAGCCTGACCCACTCAGTTTTCTTTGTATTACAGATAGTGGCACGAGAGCATAAGTCGGATGACATTGTCAAGATATTTTTTGGAGTATAGACCCGTAGTTATATGTAACTGTTGTAAGGTCTATTTTGTATTGTTTATGCTTTTGGTCTGTATCGGAACATGGCATCCCGAGGTTTTATTATATAATGAAAATACATTTATTTATGAAATGCTTTGATAAATTCTTATCATATTTGGTTTTGGGAACAAATTCCGCAACTCTTTTAATCAAAGGATTACTCTGATTTTATTTAAAAGCATAAATGAAATCGGTCTTTTCTGGCCGTGATTTTGGGGATGTCACACAACTCATCTTACACTGAGTTGTATTTATCTTAGATATATTGGATTCTAATTGGCATAAGAGGGAACCATATGGATTAGTAATGGGAATAATGATTCCAGGCATTGACAGGTGGAGATGACATGTATTTTATGTCTAGCAGAAAATGGCTAGGGGTAGCTAATGGAGTTAGCCAATGGTTATTCGAAGGTATTTCATTGTAGTTGAATGGGACCCAACCATAATTTTGATTGTTATTATTCTAAAAACACATATAGCAACTGAAATGAGACATTTTTTTGTTACTAATTTCTATTTTATGAAATACAGCCAGTGCTTCAGAAGTTTATGCCCAAGAGCTCATGAGAAGTTGTGAAGAAATTGTCTTACATACCACCAACAATGCTCCAATGACCAGCCCAGTTGAACT